TTTTTTGGTATTCCAGTGAAATTCTCTTAAACAGTGATAGAAATCCTTTCTCTCTGCAATTTCCTTCACTATGTCAGGGCAGACGCTGATTTATTTTGAACCAGATTAAATAACAAAAGAGGGAAAGCTGAAGCTCAGCCTTTCACAAGGCTTACATTTTTGATCAGCTGATAAGAAAGCTGGAGTGGTGGAGGTATTTCAGCACAGCAAGGAAAACAAGGGGCATTGTCAGTGCCTGGGTCAGTCCATTAATTACGGAATGAAGATTCGAAATAGTGAAACAAGGTCACCTTTTTTCCCTGAAAGGTGACAATAAATCCTTGACATGCATCTGAAAAAACAAATGAAGAAAAATCCTGAGTTTTCCCTTCCATAACAAGGGAAGAATAAGCATGGCAAGCTTAACATGTCTGAAAGAGAAGCATCCTCAAGGTGGAAGGCAGATAAGAAAACTCTGAATGGGTGGAATTTGAAATCAGAAAAAATACAAAGAAAAATTAGCAGGTACTTGTTTAACTCCTATCAAGAGTACAGCCTGAATGGATAAAAAATTTCACTTGCGAGTGAAAGCAAGGAATGAAAACACAGGATGCAGAGAACAAAGTGATTCCTATAGAGCATTGGAATCACTACCAACAACCCAAATCACAAAGATCTCCTGAATTCCACTGTGAAAAACTGCACTGGAGGTCAACAGATGTATGACTCAGATCAGCTTGTGGAAAAAAAAAAAAAAAAACCGCAGGGGGGAAAGAGAAAAGGAGAGGGGTATATATATTTTATTTTTTTTTACAGCCAATGAATTAGGGGCAGCATCGTAGTCTGGGGTGATTCTGAAATGCCACCAAGACGGTATTCAGCAGCAGCATGACCTGGTAACTGAAAGGCAGATTTTAAACAGATTCTACAGCATAAGAAATTGTAAGTCTTCAAATCTCTGATCAGTGCTACAAATTTTTCTTAACATTTCTGTAATTTTTGCAAAAATCAGTCTTCTTAAATGACAGGCTGAGTAGAACTTATTGGAATCTTATTGGCATGGAAGAAAAAAATTGGCCCACAACCAGGCAGTAAACCCAGACAAAGCCTTCACTCTGACCTTGGAGAAGCACTTCAGTAGGTTCTAGAAGAGACTTAAGAAGAAAACAAAATTTCAACAAGAAATTTCTTGTTTCATTTTACTCCCACTGTACTCTTGGAAACAGGACCCAGATTTCAACTGTCTGCAAGTCAAATCTGATAATAATACATTAATGTTCAAATAATCTTACGATACCTCCCAGCAACCATGCTTATTCACCAGCTTGTACTGGAAGAAAAATGAAACACGCTTAGTGACTTTGCTCTGAAGTACCCTATAGCTTGGAGAGCTGGGCACCATGCTGGGTAGGCCTAAGTTGCCTTTCTGCCGGGAAAAGTTGAGACACCTGTCTCCCCATGGCTCTTCAGCCACCACTTCTTGTCTTTTATACCATCCAGAGCTTGGCTTGTTCTCAACAAAAGCAGAATGAGGCTCTCAATTACTTGCCTCCCTGCAGACAACATTTATTACCACATGATTTTATTCTCTCGAGCCAAAAGCAAGAAATCTGAAGACTGGCATCTCAGACAATAGGTTAAACACAGCTATGTTCATGTAGTGTATTTAAATTCAGATCTACGAATCATCATTCTTTATACCACCTACTTCTCTGAAAAGGAACTTTGGATGACAGGCCTAGAGGCTGTGGCTACTTAACACCCACAAAGCAAGTCTATTCTTGCAATAATTATTGCTGCACTCTTATACAGTAAGAAGAATAAGCATCATTTTTCCCATTAACTGGAACTCAATTGAATTTTGAAAGATCCACACTCTGAAGTAAGAACCCTAACCTGATTGCCTGTATGCTATCTTCTATGTGGGTGAAATAGCCTGTACATGGAAGAATCCTTTTTTGTCCAAAGAGTTAACAACAACAACAACAAAAAAGCCAGGATAATTCACCCACTGGTAAAATAACTGTGATTAAAGCTATGGACTGTGCTTCTGAAATGGAAAGATGTATAAGGAGACAGCTTCATGCAGTGGTTGAACATCTTATAGTGCTATGTTTTTCCTCTTAGTTCTTTTCTTGTTTAAGTTAATAAACCCACAGCTTAAAATAATTCATCTGAAGTCATATTCTTTAGGTCTGTAGCATACTCACTGTGCATCTGCCCTCAGTCCTGTTGATCTTTAAGATCAGTCCTTAAAACTGTATACGACATCCCAGTCAAGGGCTAGCTTCAAGCATCTTATGAGTGATACCCTTGATTCCACCTGCCTTTCACAGTTACACCACAGAAGTCTCTGCTTCAGCTTGTGATTCTCCGAAGCCTTACATGGGTTTGTTTCTGCAGAGCTGTTATTCAGTCAGCTTTCCTTATCCTGGAGATGCACAGACCTGTATCCTATGATTCTCTGCACTGACCTGACTCCCATGCTTTAGACTGTTTTGGGAGTGCTTATGTCAGCCTTAATCCAGATTCAAGCCTGACTCCAAACTGCAATCTAACCCAGCACAACTGTAAATCCTTCCAGTTTCTCCCTACATGAGTCTACTTATTTAGAAGGACAGGGCCATTAACTTCCAAGAGGTTTCAGGTTCTCTATAGATATAAAGCAAGTATTTCTGTCCTGGTGTACAGGTGAGGGGGAGGAAACGAAATTCAAAACCAAACCACAGCAGCAACATGGGCTAGATTATTATTATTACTAACTGCAAATAGAACAAAGGGATACAGAGACTTTGGTAAGAAATTAGAGGTGTTCTTTTTCCCCCCACACGCTCATCAAAACTGAGAGAAAACTGCAGCACTTGCAGGAGAATTAATACAGAAGTAATCAGTACTGAGAACTAACATCCGCTTTACCACAAAAGTTGAGTCTCAATAATGGAGGAAAGTGTGCAAATACGTACCAGGAGAACACAGCAAAAAAACATCAGGGAAGATACAATTACCACATAGGAAGTCTAAGCAGTTTTTCATTGTTTCCTTTTATTTCCTCAATTCCTGATCAGTAATAACTTGTATGTTACTTAAACCTGTCCAAAGCAAAGTGCAACAATAAAGTGCTCATTAAATCAGTTATTTCCCTCCAAATCTGATATACTTAAGATAACCTGCTTTAAAAGTGATCTCAAATGTGGGACAACCTCATTTCATGTTGCATAAATGATATTAAGAATATGAAAAATGGAAAAGGAGCTCGCTGTAATAGAATATAGCAATTACAGGTGGTTGGACCTTAATCTGAATGCAGCACCACGGTTTGGTGGACGAATAAGCTAAGGCACATGATATGCCTTATGTTCCCTGGAGCCACAGAGGATCTTAAATAGTCACAATGCAGTGCATTATCGTGCCTCATGGTACCCACATCCCTAGGTTGGATGCCAAGATTCCGCCTGCAATCCATGGGAGGTCCTCAGTGCCTATGAAAGGGATTTGCTCAACCCAACATGCCAAGCAGAGCATCTTGTGCTTAGCTAACAGCAGCTAAGTCATGTCCTGCAGAGGTAGGTATATACGTATTTCCAGGAAAGGAGCTATTGGCTTCTACTTGAAATTTCTGGTTGTAAAGTCTCTCCTATGTTTTATTGCCATCGTATTTCCTTATCCAGACCCTCTCTCCCCTGCTGTTTCCTATTCCCAAAACAATCAAACAGGAAGAGCAATGTCAGCTCTTCCTGTAGCTGGGAAATGGAACCACTCCCTAATCTTCCCCTGAACTGGAGAAAGATCTCCACACCCCACACTTCGGGCAGTTGTGCTCAATCTCTGCAGAAATGTAGTGTTTTTTGTTTTGTTTTGTTTTTTGTTTTCTTTTTAAGGACTTAAAGACAAACAAGTCAGTATCAGTCTTCCCCATTGAATCCTGCTGGACAGCACTTGCTCAAAGCAGAACAGCTCAATCAGGAAAGATCAGAGGATGCCTGGTATCCCTGAAGACCCAGGGTAACTAAAGCGTGCTTTTGCCAGTGCTGCCACTCCAAGCCAGATCTCTGCTCTCAGCAACCAGGGCAGCTGCCAGCGAGCCAGGCTCAGAGGCCCTATAACCAATGTGCGAAAGTCGATATCTACGTGCCTGGGTGCAGCTGGCTTCCAAGGGCACCGCTTCCTCGCACGTCTCTCCTACAGACGTGAGACACCAAGGTGTCACTAGGTGTCCCCCTCGGGCTATTCCCAGCCGCGGGGACACAGCCGGGCCGAGCTCCGCCGGCAATTCTGCCTCGGGATAACGGCACTGCTTCACGGACCGCCCCACCGACGGGGAGAGATGGTGTAGGTATACGCAGGAACGCACGCATCTGTACATAAAATTCCCAAGCTAAGGAAAACAACCGTCCTAGAATTGCCCACTTCGATACTTCTGAAGCCATAACTCGTGCCCGCAGAACCACCGCCGCCGGACGGGACCCCCCGGCCCGGCCGTCAGAGCTCCAAGAACCCCGAGCGGAGGGGGCGGGCACTGCCGGGTGCCCCGGACAGCCCCGCGTATCCCCGGGGGCGGCGGCTGGGGAGGGGCGTCGGGGAAAGTGGCAAGCGGGGGCAGGGGGACAGCCCCCGGCCCTTGATAACCCCCGCACCCTCCCCGCCGCCGCCAGCCGCCGCCTCGCCTTCCCCGCACCCGTAGCTGCCCGCCGCGCACCGTGAGTTCCCGGGGAGGCTGGGGGTCAGCGGTGCCATGGCGGGATGAGGGGAGGGAGCGGTGCGACGGGAGACTCGAGGCGAGCGGCTCGATCCCCAGCTGTGTTTGGCAGCCCCGATGCCGAGAGCTCCCGGTCTGCCGGAGAAAGGGGGGGGGGGGGGGGAAGGGGAGGGAGGCGAGCCGAGAGCGGGGCCGCGGTCCCCAGCAGCGGGACGGCCGCCCCCCGACAGCCGCGTGTCCCCGCAGGGCGCGGGGCATGCGGCGGGTCCTCCGCCGGTCCGCGCCGTCGCCGAGGCACCGGAGGAGGCACCCGCGGCGCTGAGAGATGAGGCTGCCCCTGGCCCTGCTGACGCTGGCCGCGCTGGGGGCCGCGGGCGGCGGGCCGGGCCCGGAGGCGGCGCCGTCGGGGCATTTCTCCACGCCGGAGCAGCACCGGTGCGGCTGGGAGGTGCGCCGGGCGGCGGGGAGCAGCGAGCTGCGGCTGAGCTGCCGGCCGCCGTCGGGCCGCGGGGCGGAGCAGAGCTGCGTGTATCGCGGAGAGCCTTGGCGCTGCCCCGCCTACGGCGCGCGCAGCCGGCAGTTCTGGCGGCAGATCGTCGCCCGGCTCCGCCGTCGCCGCCGGCCCTGCGCGGAGGGCGGCCCGCTCAGCGCCCGCTTCTGCGGACCGGGCCGAGCGCCGCCCGAGGCTCAGCTGCGCCTGGTGCCGCCCGGCCCCATCGCGGCCTCCGCCGAGCCTTCCCCCGAGCAGCTGGCCGAGACCTACTGCGCCCAGCGCTGGCACTCGCTGTGCGCCTTCTTCGCCGGCTTCTGGCAGGGCTGAGCTGAGCCACTCGGCCCTCGTAGCCCCTCGCCCCTCCACTTTGTCAGTTTTTTTAAACCTTTCTCCAATAAAGTGCCAACTTTGATAACACTCTGGAAACTCGCGTAACTCCTTTCTCCCCAGAGCCTGCAGCACAGCAGCGAGTGGCTGCCAAGAGCTGGTGAGGTGTGCAGCACGGAGCACACTGAAAGTGATACGGAAAACAAATAACCACAAATTTATATAACAGGTTCAAGGCGCAGTGAAACTGTCCAGCTAAAAGCCATGGGTACCACAATACAGCACAAAGATTTTACTGCGTAGCCCTAGTAAAGTTGCCTTGCTCCCACAGATCTATCACATACAGAACAAGCTGCCCAGACGTTCCCACAGAGCAGATCAGGGAAGATGTAAGCAGGCAGAGTTGAGAGAACAGCTGTGAAGAGACTCTCACAGCAGAAGAGTGTCTTCCAAATGATGCTTCGGAAGTGAATGATGTTTTACCTAGCTAATGAGCTATCACCAAAGCTGCATTCCCATTCACAATAAAATACTCTCTCACATTGCATCTGGATTATACAGAATATCAAGAGACATGCACTGAAAAGGCTTTTTTTTTTTCCCCTCAAATTGCTGAAAACTAAAAGTACAGATGTGTTCAGGATATATATATTCTTGCCACTTAATTAGGAAATGTTATCTATTCATGGCCAATAAGATAACAAATGCTTCCCACCAGCTGCAGCCACACCATCCAGATGCTGCCTAGAACACAGCTGCAGCCCCTGCCTGCTCAAACCACCCACTGAGGGCCAAAGGCACCAGAGCACCCCAGGTCCTGCAAAAACCTTGCAAGACTTTCCTAACTATCTGTTTTCCTGCACTCAGCACAAGTAAGAGCAAAACAGAAGGAATTAGGCTGATTTTCTAGTTGTCTCCCTTCAGAAATGTCCTTGTAGCACATAAGCATCTTTTCTTTGAAGCAAATTGCTTTACAAAGGTGGTGGAGGGGTTTGAGATATTGAACACTTCATCCACTTACTGAAGCAGAACTCCGGTACACTTTGATGGAGATAGTTCAGGTTTTCTTCAGTCTTGCTTTTTCATTTAGACATCCTGCTCTCATCCTACAAGAAAAGGAACAGCAATTTCTACAACACATGGCCACCCTACATTATTTACAACAGTAGACAGAATTTTACCTTTTCGTACAGGGGAAGTAACATCACAGAGGTTTGATTCTCACAGTTAAGAGTGTTTGTTAGGATCTCAAATGTGATCCCATCTCACAGATGGGCACAGCAGTCCACATACACAATGCTACTGAGTTAGAACAGAATTTGAACAAGCCAGCCTTCCTTGGCTGCCCACACAGATACATTTAGGTGCTCCTGTGCTCCTATGCAGCCATAAGTGGGAGCACCTGTAAGCTCTGGTTTTGAGGGCAGCTGAGAGGAAACCACCACAAGGCAATAAGGATCTGCCAAGTGGCTCCCACAAGAGGGCTGTGGGAGGCTGTTGCATACATCTCTTTGTCCCAAGGTATTTTTCTTCATAGCAAGTAGCTTGGATACTGCTCAGCAGCACTATGCAAAAGGCTGACTGTCAATGCATTTTTGCATTTTGCACTTTTAAAATAATCTCACTTTTTCCTTATAATACACAACCAGCCATGTAGGAGGCTAGTGGCCATAGCATTTCATGCTCTCGCAATAATATGCAGCTTTGTTTTACTTCCATGGCGTTGGCACAGCAGCTTCGTGCAGTGCCTTTAGAGCTTGTGTTTCATACTATCAGACGCAAAGGTGCAACACCATGGCAACTGATCTGCTAATCCACATCACACTTCATTTACAAAACCAACTAGGAATTCTGAGCAAATACAATGTCTTGCCCCATGAAGAAGAGAAAGAAGAGGATCCTTGCTCAGTGCTTCACTGCATTACCCTCCTTGCTCTCTGAAAGAGCACAAAGCCTTTCCTACACATCACAAAATAATGAAATATAACAATCCAGGAGACCATGTTCATTTAATCTATGGTTAATAATACTAATGTCCAGAGTTTAGTAGCAACAAATACCAAATTTCTGTACCTTGGGTATTGTGGATCCCAAAGGATAAAAAACCAGTCAGATCCATAGAACTGATTTTAAGTAGTGTAGATTCATGCCTCCTCAATCAATAGTATTGTCATCCTTCTCCTATGATTAGATGGTAGCTGACTGTAGCCATTAAGCCAACCAAGCACAGGAAGAATTTATAGCTAATATCTTCACCTCTACCAGAATCCATTCCTTTCCAACCCCGCAACGCAAAGCTGTCATCCCCCCAATCTAACCCAGGCACCCAAGCCTGCGCAGGCCCATGCTGCAGCCAGCCTTACCTCTGCTCTCCCACTGCAGCTAGGCCCATCCTTCACCACCTCCCTGATTCCTAATTTAGATGGCTCCTGCCATCTCATCCTTCCCTCTTCAGTTCTTTCTGGCCAGGGCCTACATCAACAAGCAGCCTGACCACAATACTAGAACCCAGCCCAGCTGCTCTACCCCACAGGCCTTATGAGCTGTGCTGTCCCACAGGCAGGTGATCCCAAGCTCCACTAACAAGAGGGCACTTCCCCACAGGCAGCTGCAGCTGCTGTTACTCTCACAAGGTTGCTTCCAGCTAAACTTACCAGGATAATAAGCTGTCATTCAAGGAAAAGCATGACTTATCTTTAAAAATAAAAAATCAATTTGCTTTTTAGCTTCTGGATTTTGAATACCAGAGGATGTAACTTCTTTCAAGTTTTCAGGATTTTAAAAAAATCATCTTTGCCCCACATTGTACGCAATTAAAATTGTTTTCTTTCCTTTGGTTGCGCAGTAAAGGTGGCAACTAGTCTGAATTCACATGTGTTCAGTGAGGTTATACAAATAAACAAGTATCTCAGTGTCTGGAGTTTCTAACAGAATTACAATATCAGTTTTCCTTAGGAGAAATATCAATGATGCTGAATCTGGGCATGTTTGTAACACAGCTGGCTTTGCCTGTGGTTTTTACACATAGAAATCCGTGATTAATAGCAAACTGAAAGTCTCTTTCACCACTTTCTGATTTTGGAGGTAGAATTACAACATATTACTCTAATTTGTGAGGTTAAAAAATATAGCAAGCTGTCTTGTTGTTTGCAACAATCCCTGCCTGTAAAGTGATGCCACAAGGTTAATACATGAAATAAATCTTTCTTCAGTAACCGAGCAGAGCTAAACTAAGAACAGGTATCTGTCAGTGTTTTACATAGCAGTGATATCCACAGCAATGTCTGCTGTAGGGCTCACCATGGCTGTGAGTTGCCTTAAAGCTTTTCCTTTTCTCGAAGTCAGTTCGACACCTACAGGTTAAGTCTGGAACGAGGTGGGAGAGCAGTCCAATATCCGCAAAAGATGGTTCTGCACTATGTGGACAACTCTAGCTCTTGCTTTGAAGGAACATCTATCTATCCTTGTTTTTTAAGAGGGAAACTGAAAACAAGCCAATGCGTGCCAATATACTGCAATATATAGAGTACAAGTTGCAATTTAAGGTGCTGTTGTTATTGAGCTCTCATAGGCATACTTTAAATACAGATTTGACTTGTCAGGCACTGCCTTCTGCACTCTCAGCATATCAGAACTGCTCCAGGGCCACAAGGCACCACTGAAAAGGCTGTCCACCTTCCTCCTCCAGGCCTGGTAAAACCTCAGCCACCTGCAGAATCTCTTTTAGTTGTTTGTGGAAGATCGGGTTTTAGAAAAGGAGATGAGGCTATAGTGTTGGGTTTCTGTGACACCTGTGGTTATTTGACATTGTTGTTTTCTCCCCGGGTTTGAGCACAATCTGCTCTGGGGGGATCCCAAAGAAGGATGGTGTGTCTGTGGGGACTTGTGGTGCAACTTAAAAACAACCATTAACAAATAATAAGATAGAGGAACAAAAAAGCAAGTGAGAGCGGGTTGGATAAAAGAACCTTAAATCTCTGGGAATTTCTCTTTAAATGACTTCAATGTATTCCAGTCTCTCTCTTGTGCCTTGAGCTCTTTTCTGAAGCCCACTGTAAAGCAAAGCAAAGCCATGCAAGTGAATGGCAGGCTTTGTGGTTTTGCCAAACACCAAACCCTTTCCTTTGTAATAATTTGGATTTATAAGAATTCCAAGCTCGGTACATTAATGTGGTTACATGAAAGAGGCTTTTACCCATACAGTATTCCAAAGCTCAGATTAACTCTCCCGGTCCTCACAACATTTCGTTAAGTGGGTGGGATCTGAGTACAATCACACATAAAATATCTGCAGCTTTAGAAACGCTTCCAAGTTTTGGGGCTTAACCTCGCTTCGTACGTGCCATGCTTTGGGAAATGCATATGCTCCGTGTTGGCTGCTGCAAAGGCAAATATTTTGCCAGTTTATTTCAGGCATTCGAGAGGTTAATGCTGCCATGTGTCCCTGGAGGGGACGAGGGCGTGAGAGGGACAGCAAGAGGCAGCAGACCAGTCTGCATTCCTGTGGTGAATAGCGGCCTGGCCTGCCCGCCGTGCTGCAATCCCACTCCTGGCTCCAGCCTTCCCATTGCAGAGCCGTACGCCCCCTGTGACAAGTGCTGTGGGCCCACCCGTGTAGTCTTGAAGCACCAGAGGAACACACAGATGCCTATTTGACAGCAACAACGTGATGTATCTCCGTGTTCCAGAGCCCTGACCTCGCTGCTGGCTCTCACACTCTGCTTGGGTGCTCGTGTTCCTGACTGCTCTCTGCCAGTGTGCATGTTGGGAAGAGGGTTCTGCTACCTGGAGCCAGCACTACTGCTGTGTGAGCAGCTGTCTCATACTTTGCTCTAGGAAATGTGATGGAACAAACGTGTAAAACTGTTGAGTATGTAGAGCTCACCTGTTCAGTTTTGTCTTGTGCCATTCAGAAGTGTTCTGTCATAAATGAACCACAGTGAATAATTCTGATGTTACTTCAGTTTTATACCCACTGCAGAGCTATTGGATCAACAAAA